TCTCAGCTAATCTAATTGCAAGTAATCTGTCAGCAAAGCCTGATGCATTAGCAAACCTCCATAAAGGAATGCTGACAAACCATACAGGTAACAAACAGCTGGGTGTTGAAAGAAAGGGAGGGGAGAATGTAAGCAGGATTAGAGCAGGCACTCTGAAATAGATGGAGGTCATCTTCCTGTTTTCTGTCTGTAGCTAAGAAACACACAGTTTGAACACAGATTATTGAAGATTTTGTGTTTGGAAGAGTATTTTCGTTGGGTTTGTAGAATAAAATTTTCCTACCAAATCAGGCCTTATCCCAGCAGACAGACAAAGGAGCACTGTTGTATTGTATTGCAATCTGAATGTCCTTCCTCTAGTAGTGGCCAAGTTTGTGATACTCCGCCAACACAGTGATGGTGATTCCCTCTGAAGGCTTTAACACAACTTCTCCAATGGGTCAGTCACTGAGGTAAGTGAATAGAAAAAGAAATTAACTTCCTGCGACTCATACAAAGTGATTAATAACTCTTATCATCTTGAATGAACAACTAAAACCCCAAGAGAGAATAAACTCAGTGAAAAGGAAGAGTATAGAGGGAGGAAAGGAGCATAAATGCAATGCTCTCCTTGCTGTATAAGCACTAAAAGTCATGTGGAGCGAATATGGAGAAGAAGGTGCTGGTAGTTAAGTACCAGCTGACTATAGAACATGAAAGCAAATAAGGAAGATCATTTCATCTTTCAATGAAATGAGAGGTGTGGCAGAAGCAAAGAAGGAACAGCAATTGCTGGCTGGGCAGAGTTGTATGTACAGGTGTGTGCAGTCCCTTCTAGAGGTGGGAACCTACTTACATGCAGGGAGTGAAGATGCAAGTCTGAGAATCATCAGAAACTCCAATGCCAACCCTTAACCTGTTGGGTATTTTGATGCTTAAAAGTAGGATCTTGGGAAACAATGACAATGCCCATAAATTCATATAGCATGGAGTACTATAGTTTGTCAAAGTTTATTGCTTTGAAGATTACAGTAGAAGTTGGACTATATTGTCTAATATTTTTCTTCATATTCATATTCATGTATTAATAATAACATGCAAATTGTCTGTTTCTAGCATTCATCTGATTAACTGTATTAGCTGAGTTTTGTTTTGTTTTGTTTTAACAGCAAATGTTTTGAAACTAATCGAATGGGCTTAAAACTTCATTATCTTTTGGGCTTTAACAATGCCACTGCCTGGTAATAGCTACGAGATAAAAAGAATTCTGGATAACAAAATGTAAATGTCTACAGTAAGCATCCTGCTCTCCTTAAAAAAGTAACAGAAATTTACTCATGAAATGGCCTGTTGGAGTTGAATTACACTGCCTGCTTTATTTTCTTTTTATTTCACTGTGGATAAAGAATGGTGGGGAGAAGCATGCCCACTTTCATTTGTTACCACTTTCTACCAATCTTTGTGACTCTGAAAAAGGAGAATTCACTTGTGTGGAAATGAAGCATATTGACTTTGGAAGCAAGATCATGTTCAGTATTTATTTTATGTAGTACTTTAATGCCATACCCGATAGTGGGTTTCCTATGGTATGATCGGGCATCTTGACTATAACAATGAGTCTTTTACACCAGAGTACCTAAACTTAGGAGGAAAGTCTTCACTCAGAGGATGGTGAGGCACTGGCACAGGCTGCCCAGAGAAGCTGTGGGTGCCCCATCCCTGGAGGTGCTCAAGGCCAGGTTGGATGGGGCTTTGAGCAACCTGGTCTGTTGGGCGGTGTCCCTGCCCATGGCAGGGGGTTAGAACTGGGTGATCTTTATATTCTCTTCCAACCCAAGCTTTTCTATGATTCTAAGGATCTATGAACTCCATGCTAACAAGGGATCTCCACATGCAATAATTTGCAAATACATACAAAGTAGCTAGGCTAAAATTGTGTCTGGGACAGGAGTACTTTACACTTTTGAGTTTCCTGTTTCCTGTTTTCCATAAAGGGCATTCTTGTAGGAAATACAAACTAAAAGCACATGCAACGGTCAAGCAATAGTGATGAAAAAACAGATGGGTTGCTGAATCTGGCCTTTCAATATTATTGCCAGAATGCTTTTAAACAGCACTTTAGGAGCAATTGAAATTGTTCCAATGTAAAGCTTTATGGTAGCCCATATTTATAGAATGAACTTATGGATTTTCTATGACTGCAGGCTTAGATTTTAAAAACTTCTGTCTCTTTTGGAGGAAAGAGCCTCTGACTCCAGAGGATATATATATATTTAATAACAATGGTAAAATAAAGAGGCATACACTTCTTAAACAAAGTGAACCCGAATTTCTTAGAGGCTTGCTGTAATTGTGGATGTCAGTTAAATTAACTCTTAGTTTGCTGTGTGTATTTCTCACACTGTTGCACCTCAAAACCTAAGAGCTTTCTGCTGCATTAGCTAAACTGTTTGCTTTTTCCCCTCCTAATGTGAAAACTGAACCCTCTTCTGGGAGAGGAGGGAAATGGGTATATTGAGAATAAAGAATTCAGCATTCTCAATAATATGTTTTGGGATTTTGTTGTAGTGCCCACTCAGATGTCTGCAGAAAAGCTGTGACCTTGTTGATGGTAGACAGAGAACATTCTACAGACAGCATGTCTAGATCACTTCATCCTAAAAACAGGGCACATAGCATAACTAGTTCCCTAAGAGAAGATGGAAATGTGGAGAGCAAACAGCTTTACTGCTAGAGGAACAGGGATAATTCTTATGTAGATGGCACAGGAAAAACAAGATCCAATTGGAGAGGAACTTGTGATTTTCAGGTCAGGCAGGAGCCTGAGGGAGAAGCATGCTCCCCAAGTCTCTTTTGTGTCTGCTCTTCTCCTGTGTGCCATAAACAGAGGGAAGTGATACTGCACTTTGGTTCCATTGAGCTAAGCAGCCTTCCTGCACAAGGGAGCTTATAGTGTGTATACTTACGTGGGAAATTGCAAGCATGCATATACTTTATTAGGCAGCATATTATGAATCAGGGTCATAGCTGGAGTAGTTGCTTTGTTCAAGAGATACTCAGATCCCTTGGGTAAGCAGCTAATTGCAGGAAACCTTTGAAAGCAAACGTGTGATAGGAAGAAAGCAATGAATATTGTTTATTCAAAAGACAGGAGAGGTTTCTTTGAATCAGTTCTCTTGCATAATTATGTAATTAGGGCATGTTCTATTTTTAATTAAATCTCTTGCATATTCATGGAAATCCTCTGAACTTGTGGACCAATAGGCATGGCTCTTTTAAAAATGCAGTTTGTATAAAGGAATGCCCTTCAATTTTTCCCCCCCTTTCATATTTATTTCAAACGCATATTTCACATCATTATACACAGTTTGCCTGGCCAATGCCCTGACTTCCCTGTCAGGACAAGCTACAGTGTGATGATAAACCACTAATACAAAATTGCCAGAGGAGTGTTTTAAATGGAGATGAAAAATACAAGAAGCTGCTGCTCTGAAGTACCAGTATCACAGCTGGTTTTTGTTGGAAAGCTTGACCCGTGCAAGATAAGAATCAGAAGAAATCAGGAAGTATACCGTTCCCTCAGCTTTTCAAACCCAACAGTGACTCTGCACTTGCAGTCTGTAGCTGATCCATTTTCTCCTAATTTTGTTTCTGTTGGCCTTAGAATCACAGAATCATCTAGGTTGGAAGAGACCTCCAAGATCACCTAGTCCAACCTCTGACCTAACACTAACAAGTCCACCGTATGAGTGTCTTTTCCTGTTCTTACACTTCTCTGACTACTGCATTAGCTTTGATTCCATCTTCCTCTTAGGAGTCTTGCTTTCTCACCTGATCCTTGCTGTCACATCTGCCATTTTGTAAATTTGTTCAATGTTTTATGTGAGTGCAAACAGTTGTAAGCATACCTTTATACAATTTACCATTGAGGTGAGGCTGCACATTTTGATTTTCCACTACACCTCCATATGTTTCTATAAGCTTATGATTCATACCTATACATACTGCAGGAGTTACGCATGTGATGCTGGGGTGATAATGCACCATAATATTCTGTCTAGACGTTAATAATACCCTTATAAAGTTAGGCTGTCACTGTCCCCTGATGACTCCAATATACATTGCACTGCTGCATTATATTTAACTGTTTTTCATCTCGGACCTCAATTTCTTCCTTCAATTCTTCTTCATTTCTGATTAATGTGTATCCTGTGGAACATTAAACAACATGAAGAAAACACTGTGACCATTCTTTCTGTGTTAGAGGGAGTGGGAGTGAATTGGAAGCTGCAAAGTAGTTCTTGTGACAAGTGTCACCGCCTTTCTGATGAAACTCTTAAATTTTATGCATAAACCTGTCCAACAGCAGGGATCCTTCAGTGGATCCAACATGCGTCCACAACAAGGGTGTTGGAACATGCAAGGAGCACCCAATGAGCCCAGAGGGGGCACCCAGCCTTCTCCTCAGGATTTGGGCTTCTGTCTGCTTTCCTGGGTGACTCGTACACCACAAGCTGCTGCTGCTGCTCCAGAGGTGTTCAGCTGGAGCATTTACGAGTCCTGCTGTCAGCTCGCATTACAAAACCCTAAAACTGCTCAGACACCCAAAACACCTGACACCACCATCATCAGTGGTACCCAACCCCGGTGCCTGCCCAGCCCTGCGACACCTGACGGGGCATTAAGGAAACCCCGCATTTTGCTCCGGGCAGAGCCCGGACACAACCCGAGCCCCCTTCTCGGGGCTGTGAGGGGGATGTTGTGAGCGGGGGGCTCTGCCCCTTCCCGCTTCCCCTCCCCGCCGAGCGCCATGGCGGCGGGCACGGCGCTGAGGGGAGGGAGAAGAAGGGCGCGCGGGGCCCGCTGGGAGAAGGAGGGGAGCCGCCATGTTGGGCGGGTCTGTGGGCCGTGCCGGGCCGTGCCGAGCCGTGCCGGTGGGCGGTGTGGGGCGGTGTGGGGCGGGGGCAGCACCAGCAGCCGGGGCGGTGGCTGCCAGCAGCTGTCAGCGCCCGCTCCTCAGGGGCCGGGGCCCCTCGCCGAGCGCACCGCGGCCGCCGCTGCCGGGCTTGTCAGCTCCTCACGGGAAGCGGCGAAGGCGCCGCGGCGCCCACCCTCTTCCTCACCCCTCCTCGCCCTACAAAACCCTTTTCCTTCCGCCCGCCCATCGCTGACATCCTTCCTCCGGTCGCCTCCTTTCCTTATTTCCCCCCCCCCTCCCCTTCCCCCTTCCCCCTTCCCCGGGCTGCGCGGCCCCCGCCGCCCCTGCGAGCGCTGCGCACATCGCCCGAGCCTGCAGCACCGAGCGGTGAGCCGGGGGGGACGGGGATGGGGACAGGGACAGGGACAGGGACAGGGACAGGGGGGGCACCGGCCCCACACCGCTGCCTTCCCCTTCCTCTCGGCGCAAACAACAAAAGGACCCCCCGCCGCCCCGCTGACAGCCGGCCCCCGCCGCGTGGGGTGCCTCGGCTCGGGTGGTTGGGGTTTCTTTTAATTTATGAGGATGGGAGGTGGCTTTCCCCGTTGTTTCCGTGTCCCCCTGCTGATCCGCTAGAGCCGAGGCATCCCCCCGGAGGCTCTGGCTTTGTCCCTTCCCCTTCCCTCCCTCAGCGCTGCGGTGCCGGCCCGGCGCCGCCCAGGGAGGGGGCCCGGGGGCTGAGGGGGATGGAGCGGGGTGAGGGGGTTTGGAAGGGGCTGAGGGGGGCTGAAGGGGTCTGAAGGAGCCTGAGGGGGGCCAAAAGAGTCTGAGGGGGTCTGGAAGGGTCTGAGGGGGGCCAAGGGGTCCGCCGGCCTCGCCCATCCGCCGCGGTCAGCCCGTGTCCGTGCGGCGCTTTTGTTTTTCCTTCGCCCGTGCTCGGGTTTGGCTGCTGGGGTTTGCTGCTCCTTCTGAAATGGTGGAAGGAGAGGCGGAGACAGCTTCCAGCTCGGGTTTTTTTGTCAATAGGGACCGGATTTATGCCGTACAGGTCACCCACCCGCTGTGCTGCGTGCTGAGGTCTTAACACTGAGATCTCGGCCAGATTTGTGCGGGGCTAAAATGATGAAGAAAATCACGGATTAGGAACACGTTACCCTGGCAAAATGGCCCTAATCCATACCTGAATTTATTGATAACTGCATCTTTTGGGCACAGATCAATTAGAAAGACACTTTCCGGTCTTTTTCATCCTGGCTTTGCGTTCCTAATGTTTGTAGGTAACAAGATGTCTGATTTGTAAAGCTGCATAGCAGTTGTCTGTGATCATAAAAAGGGACTTGCCTCCTTACTGAACGCCGTGTTATGAGCATACTGAAGCACATTTTAACAACCAAAGCAGCATCACCTAAATTAATGCTACTGACTAGCTTTGTGAAGGCTACTAAATCAATGAGGGTGCTTCTACTCTATTATTTTTTCCCCATTACTCATTTCCCTTGGTGCATATGACTTAAATGTAGCAGCGGTATTCAAGTACCAAACATGGAGTCAAAATACAGAATCAGAAAGTAAAAGCAGCCAGAAAGGAGTGAAAGTTTGTTCTTATACTTTGAACAGCAAAATGGTGAGCAGTGTCACTCATAATATAAATTCTTTTGCAGCTGTGCATAAAAATATATTAAATGAGGGCTCTTAAAGTACCATTTTTGTGCTCTTACAGTTGGCAGAAGGTTTAGTAACATTTACTCTGTGAAGTAATTATCTGTTTTACTTCCCCTTTTGTACTTGCACTTCACTTAAATAGGAAACTTATGTCCAAAGGGTGTCCATTGGAAAGCTAAAAAGGAACCTTCGAGATTTGGACAGCTTAGCATTTTAATTAAAAAAAAAAAATGTTTCAATCTGTTCTGGAAAATAGCTTTTTTTTAATTGATTATGAATTCCAAAGCTTCAGCGAAACATGATAGAGGATATCATAACCCTAGGATTATAGATACAATTGAAAGTAACACATTCAGCATTTACTGGAAGCAGAGAGAAAACCGATCCAGATGGTGATTCTGAGCAGAAGACCTCATATTTTGTAAGTCACTTACAGATTTTTTTTTTTGTGAACACATGGTTTCAGAGAACCTTTTTGTGAAACTGTGACAAATATGGAAAACTAGTTGTTCCATTTAGATATGCTTTTTATATAATGCAGAACCATGTAGTAAAATGCAGAGTTTTTTAAGTTGTCAGTTCCTGAAAGACACACACACAACAATGCAGTATCACTTCTGCATCATGTTGCAGTTAAAGTTTGGCAACCTTTCTGTTTCCTGAAGGATGATGAAGGAACTGGACAATTCCATTAATTAGAAATTCCAACAGCAATTCAAGTCTAGATTCCATTCATTTTCTAATCAAAGAAAACATGCTATGATATCTAATTTCAAAAGGGAATAATACTACTCCCAAAATGTCTCATGAAGTTGCATCAATTACTGTTCATTAAAATATTGTGACATGCCAACAGTGCCTTATGGAAACTAATTTTAAAAAAGCCTTTCTTCAGTGAAGGAAGAATCATGTTCAAAATCATAAAAGAAAAATTTGCAGGAGTCCAGAATACAATCTACTAAACATTTTGACATACAGTAATGAAAGCAATGCAGTACAGGTGCATAAGGGATAAAAGAGCAATTGCTGCTTGCTCTGTTTATGAAGAACTTACCAAGATGATGTCAGAAAACCATCACTTGTGTGCTACCCTTAGGCTGTATACGTCTCTCCCTGTATATCTGCGTGTGTGTTTATATCTGTATCTATATGTGTACACACACATACCTACATGGCTGTCACTTAATTGGGAGCTTGGGGAAATACTGTAGCCTCTCATTCTGCTCAGAGTCCACTTAATGCAGCTTCTGTTTCTCTTGAGACATTGTGGGCTTGTGCTCTTTCATCTCTTATTCTGCTTGGCTTCTCTGGAAGACGTATGAGTGGATTTATTCTGGTATTAACAGCATCTTTTCAGATATGTATCATAATTATTTTAAAACTTAGTTCAGTGTACAAATATTTGTTAATAATATTATGAAAATAATATTTTCATAAGGGGACTGCAAAATGAGTGAGTTTGGGAACATTCATAAAGAAGCAAAATATACTTTTGTATTTAAAGTTGAGGAGTATGGTAGCAGATGGTGATGAGGAAACGCCTACTAGGACTATTTAAATAAACCTTTTGTGGTCTGTCTGCTTGCAGGTATAGTTCAGCATGACACATCTATCACAAAAATGGGATGTGGCCAATTCCTTCATCATTGCAACAGAAGTGGCTAGTCACAGGCTTTCCTCTTAATACTAGATTTCCAAGCTGTTTTTTCATTGTTTTATAAAAGCATATTAGGTACCTTGACCAAAGTTTAGAAAAACATTTATTTTCAATGTTAACTCTCATTTTCCTTAAAATCATTGAGCATATAACGTCTAACAGATACCACATAACAGTCAAATGCATTGCTCATATTAAAAAGAAGCCTTACTGACTTCAAAATACAGCTGGTTGTAATGGTTATATCCTGAGTCATGCTCAGCCTTGGATATTTTTGAGGTAGTAAAGCTTTCCCAATAATTTCTGTAGTGAAATATTTTTCTGTGTAACAGCAGGCTGTAGAAATAAGCGTGCTTTCTTTGAAAAATGATTTATCAGTCACCAAAATCAATTAATGCCTGAGAAGAAAAAGATGCCCTCATGCTAGCTTAGATTTGCTGAGATGCTTCTGTTGCTTTTACTTACGGAATTTGAATCAGGCACTTTGTTAGAGGGTAAGAGCCAAAATTATAGATCCTTTCAGTGATGTAGGAATTACTTCCACGGGGTTTTGTGTGAGGTTCTTTGACAGATGACACTGTGCTTGTTTTGGAGAATGTTTTATTGTCCTAGACAGTTAGTATAATTAATAATGACAAGCCATAGCAGATAGGCAAGCATGAGAGCTGAGGATGTATGCTTCCAGTACCTAAAATATATTTCAGTGTGTGAACAAAGGACTTGTTCTCAGAGGGCAAACACTAAAGCACAGTTAATACTAGTTTTCTTTATGCAGTATAAAAAATTAGCATATCTAATTTCTCATACTTGATAGTTTCTTCAGACTGAGTTAGCTAAGAAAACAGATGCAAGTAATAGTATCTGGCTGTTGATATAATCACTGTTTGGTTCTCTGAATCCAGCTTATCTCCCTTGGGCTCTGCTGTTTAACTATTTTTAGTACAGTCAGAAAAACACTATTTACCCTAGAAGCAGTTTTGACCTGCAGGTGGAATTGAACTGAGTTTTTCAAATAATTATTATTGGTCATCTTTTTTTGTGTGTTCAAAATCATGTGATTGTGTGTCCTCTACTCCAAATACGCTTTCCCCCCTGCTGTCTACATAAACATGCAGATTTTTTAACCTGGTTTCTCAGTATCAGGTCTTACCTACAGGTAAAAGTACTAAATTACTTTTTGCAGGTAGTCTTAAAACTGAGCAGTTTCCTATGTTGGTTCTTTGTAAATAATTGCCATAAAACCTATTAATTATATTAAGGTGGTGTTTTGGGGGTTACATCAGATCTGTAGGTGACTTTGCTATATTCTAAAGTGAATATAGCGATGAATGTAACCCATCAGTCAGTAGTGCCAGCTGCCTTATATATTGGTAGGGTTGGAGTGGTGGCTAACGACACCCTAATTACTATGGGATTGTAACCCTGCACTTGTACGTACCCAGAAAACCATATAAAAAGTTAATGATGCACTAATTAACATTGATAAGGTCAATAAATGTCTGATTTAAAGCTAACCTTTTTGGTAATAGTTAATACCTGCTTTTCTTACATTGTGTGATTTATATATGTTCCAGGAAACAAAGCTGTATCTAAAAACCATTTTTTTTTAAATGATGATACTTAACTTTTTCAACATTATCAGATAACTGGCTGTCTATCGTAAATCTTAGTATTTATGGCTGATATACAACCACTGATTACATACCCATAAACTATTTCTCACATCGTGTGCTGCTATCCTTTGTAGCAGTATATTGCTGTTCATATTGTGTAGCATCCTAATGCTGTGCTTTGTCCTGCAACAGCAGCAGTTAAAAGTTAAGAGCACGCTGCAAGTGCTCTCAATGTGTTGTTACTGGCATGTGCCATTCCTCTGTGGAGAGGGTGGTGGTTGTAAGCTTCCTACAGGACCGCAGTGGCTGCATTCCTGCCATATATCTGGAGTTTGCTCCTTTCCAGCTGACAGCAGTTGAATGATTTGCCAAGCACGGCGTGCAGATTTACGGGCTTGCAGGAGAGGAGGTGGGTTCAATGGTGGGGGTGGTTCTGCCGTTTTTGCTTCTGAACA